ATATGCATGAATGAATGAATGTATGAATGAATGAGTGAGTACATAAAATAAAATAAAAAACTGAAAAAGAACTTTAATGGCGGACCGTTATCACGTGATCATTTACAATGAATCAAATTCTCCTTCCACAATTGCTTGAATTAATCACGTGATTTCACTTGCACCATTTCTATAAAACTATAGAATATTGGATAAATAGTATTTTAATAACTAATTAAAATAGATGAAACTTTGTTTAGCAACTCAAGAAGAGAGTTTCTAAGCCTCTGAATCTTTTTTCTCCAGGATTAAAGAATTGAATAACGCTATCATAAGACAAAATCAAATCTTGCGAGACATTAACCGTCGTCTGACCGGAAGTACAGAAAGCACCGGAACTAGAATTATGAACTGGTTCTCTTCCGGTCTTGGAGATTGGAAAACTCCAAACTTCAGTAGTTGGTATCAGTATAAGTAGTAAAAGTCGTCTTGAAGTTCTTGAGCGCTTTCTTAAGGCTTTATAATATTTTAAATATATCTTAAGAGTGCGATAAAAAATATTTGCTACACAGCTCTAGTCTAGTCAAAGTCTAGTCTGTGGCGGGGCGAATGAATTAGGGACTAGGAGAGAAGGGAACCGAGGGGGGAGGGGGGGTGGGGAGGGAAAGGTAAAGCGCCCCCTTATTCCCCTCATCCTCATCTTCTTCGACGTCCTTTCTCCCTCAGACCTCAAACCATTCGTGCCACTACGGTTTCTAAAATTCATGCCATATTGAAAGCATTTATAAGTCTTTGTAGTATTTTACTAAACTATCCACATCGACTAGCATTTTATTCCTTGGCACTTATATAACCGCTTTACTTTAAAACTGTGGTAAACTCGTTCACTCGGGCACCTTTGAGTTGCGCAACTTGAAGATAAATGGTTCAGTTGAACTAAAACAACACTTATAAAACATAAAAAAGATAAAAAAARAAAACTTTAACTCGTACTTAATTACTTTAAATTATAAAACGTAAGTAACACCAAATAAAATAACTTTTACATCGGAAATTAAAAATGAAGACCCAAAAATAAAAGATATATCGAGTCTTTATTGTGCGTTGCTAGAATTCCAGACAAGCGTTCTAGAGTTGCTATCCCAGCTAAAAAAGCAAATTTTGTTTATCAAATTAACAGCTCTTTGGTGTGCATTTCCAACTTATACGATCTCGATAACCATTCTTATGGGAAGCCATTTTAATGTTACGATAGGTCGTACCCTGTACACGCTGCAAGTCAGCCTGTACGTTTCCTCCTCATACGATTACCCTACGATAACCATCTTAATGGGAAGCCATTTCAATGTTACGGCGTCTTAACGTGTATATGCTGTAAGTCAGTACCGTATGTTTCCAACTCGTACGATAACCATTCTTATGGGAAGCCATTTCAGTGCCACGCTATGTCGTACCGTGTACGCGCTGCAAGTCAGTACCGTATCCCGCATACGATGATTCTTATGGGAAGCCATTTCAATGTTACGGCATTTCATACCGTGTAAGGCAGTTACTTACGTTACTCACTCTTACGATAACCATTTTTGTTAGGGTATGTCGTACAGTGTACTTGCTGAACTTAATAAAGTATGTTTCCCATTCATAAGATAATCATTCTTATGKGAAGCCCTTGTTTTATATGAGAATGTTACGGCATGTCATACCGTGTAAGTCAGTTACGTACGTTATACTCACTCTTACGATAATCATTCTTATGGGAAGCCATTTCAATGCTTTACGGTATGCCGTACCGTGTGCGTGCCGTGTTAGTACCGTATGTTTCCCATTCATAAGATAATYATTCTTATGGGAAGCCATTTCAATGTTACGGTATGCCGTGCCGTGTGCGTGCCGTGTTAGTACCGTATGTTTCCCATTTATAAGATAATCATTCTTATGGGAAGCCATTTCAATGTTACGGTATGTCGTACCGTGTACGTGCCGTGTTAGTACCGTATATTTCCCATTTATAAAATAATCATTCTTATGGGAAGCCATTTCAATGTTACTGTATGTCGTACCGTGTACGCGCCGTGTTAGTACCGTATGTTTCCCGCTCATACGATGAACCATTCATATAGAATGCCATGTTATGACATCTCGTACCGTGGACGTGCTGTCAGTCAGTACCGTCCGATTCCGAACCGCTCTCGGTATTTATTTCTACAAAAGAATTTGCACAAATAACGTAATTGCAAACAGATTAAGGTCATGTAGTGTCATTATTGTCTTGTTTTAATTTCCGTCGGTGAATTTAGTGGGTTTCCTGTGGTTTTACATTCCATTGTGTTCACGTGGGAACGCGAAATGCCGCCCAACAAACCTTTCTTTGGACGGAAACTTTTGTCTTGTACATATTCGATTTTAAGACAACAGTCGTCACGCAAAGCCAGTTAAATTTAAAATCATTGATGCTTTTCATACTCCTTAACCTCCAAGCCAAGTTGCCAACATTGTCTCTCGAGGCCCTTTCGAGCTGCAAGACCATAGACCCTCAAAACCACTCCAATTCTAATTCGCATGCAAGCACGGTTTATTTGTGGTTCCCATGTGTTTGTCACTTAAACTTTTCCTTTGGTTTTCCTCATCTTTAAACAATGAACACACATTCCAATCTCGGAAAATATGTCGCACTTTATTTTATGCTTTGGTATACACCAGTTTGTATTCAATGAATACCGCTGTTATAAATGACTCATTTTTTACAAGTTTAGTCTCGTTTATAAGTTAGTAAGCTAATTTATTAGAAGTTCGTGAGATTTGGAAACATTTGGTATTGTTCAACTTGCACATTCTTTACATGTTGACTTTTGTAAATGATTTGCTCTTAAACAAGGCTAAGCCTGTACCAATTTGCTGAATAAAAAAATACTATTGCATCTACTCCTAAAATTTAGCGTTAAGAAGGAAGTGAGAATCATGAAAGGTAAACAGCTATGTTCAACATGTGTCAAATAATTACCATGACAACCATCAATATGACACTCAATACCATTACCATAGCAACCATCCATCATAGTAACCAAAACAAGCCTTTTGTTGTTTCAATAAACAAGATGCATTGTGGTATAGCTTGAGTACAAACAGCACCATATATATAAGGCATGAGGGACAAAATATGTTTGAACCTAAGCTAGACCCCAATGCATCATGTTGGCTATTTCAAAAAAAGATCTACAGTAAGCCTAACCGCTACTATGGCAACCACATGAGGGCTGTATGGATGCTGCCATGGTTATCCTATACTACCATATATAGGCAACACGTCTATCACTATGACAACCACTAGCGAGCTCTTGTTCGTGAAAACATATTTAACAGATAGCTTAATGATAGTCTATTAACCATCATATCATTATTAAAACATACCATACTTTTTCAGTTTATCCACTTTTTTAAAAAAATGGAAAAAAAAAACATGGTTTTTTAAAAAACGTTTGCACATTGGGAAGCATTTGAAATCTTCCATACTTAGTATAATGCTTTTCCTACCTCCGACATATAACGAAAGAATCAGTACTTAAGGGAATGACACGCCATGGGGAAATATGAAACACTAATTCGATCAAGGTGAAACTATATAACTTTACAGAAGAGAAAAGTAAGCGAATCTGCATGCCCTTCTGGCTAAGGGTAAGTACAATGACCAAGATGAATCCCTAAAAGACAAAAGTGCCAAATAAGATGCACTTATTAGGCATCACTGCCAAGGTATTTTATTATACGCACATCTGAAACCCAAATAACGAAGCTAATGAGACTTCCAAAATGAATTGTTATCTTACTTAAAGTCTTCCACGTGTTGACCCTCAAGATGTTTCGTAAATCGGTGCCCATCAGAAGTATGGAAATTACCAACACGTCAATCATTACTCGATAACCAATCAAAAACAGCCCTAGGTGAATTACCCAGGGTTCTTCAGGGTCACGTTTCCTATTGTTTTGGGGCCAAATTTAAGCATGACCTTCAAGGTTTTTATCAAAATGACACGATATTAACGAAACGTTTCAATCAAGGCTTGATAAGTTGTCTAATATTGCCCCAGGGATTTGATTTGTGGGATGTATGAAAGAGGGTCATAGATCGTGATTTCGCTTGTCAAGAAAATGCAGAGCGTCAAGGAGAAGCGAAGATTATATAAAGGGAACGAGATACCATCTTCTTGGGTTTAACTTCTGAAGCAGATTAAAGGTTTTTTCTACACTTAAAATGCCTTCAATCATCCAAAGAGTTTTACATTCCACTTTAAGCTCGTACGGGCGTCACTTACAGGATCCATCATAAGCAACACTCATTCTACTCCACCGCAACGGCCATTATCCCATCTAAGGATAATTTAATTTTTCCCCTATACCTCTGTGGTATATTGAGTCATTCGGTTTTCCTTTGTGGGAGCCTCGCATGGGATTGCTTAGTCTAGGTGGGGATTAATTCCGTCCTCATTGCAGGAAGTCAACAAGGGTTTAAACCAGCTAAAAGTAGTTCTATCGTTGATTGACAATAAACTCTCGACTAAGTATCCTTTTTCTCACACTGACAAAAATTCGAATTCTTGGTATCTTTCCCTCTCCTTCTGTCGACGTCAGAAACGCATTTTGAATTCCTGGAAAGCATGTAACAGTAGTGACGTCGTTTCGTGCAGCGAGATTAAGTTCTCACTGAGATATATTTGGAAATAATTCGAATTGTTATTTCCCGTTCGCTAATGAAAGAAATATTCCGTTTGCAAGACCTCAAGTTGAGCATATCTTTTAACAGCTTGAAGCGAGTGCCTCACTCGAATTTCTTTGAGCCACTGAATAGAACTTTTGTCCCTTCCTAAAGCAATAATCATGTCTTGTATGAGATTATATTCAGCTCATTTCAAGGATTTATATGAACAACTGTTTTAATAACGATTCCGTTATGTGTTTTGTAATAACAATACCTAAGTACTTAAGTGATTGTTTATAAAGCTAGTCATTAAGTAGCGTTCAAATTTCTCCAGTTACGAAAACAATGGCTTATGGCTAATATATCTTAATAACCATTTGAAGTTGGATATCAGGGCGGTATATTGAATAACTTCTTAAGAAAAAAAATCCAATTTGATTGCGAAATTCATCTCGATATATTCTAGTACTCGAAGACTTGCAATACTAGTAAATCATTTTCATAAAAATTCAAGAATGATTTCAATACAAGAGGACTAACTAAGATTTTATTTCTATATGTTAAAAAAGTACTCGTATTAAAAGCGAGTAACTAAAAATAATAATAAACTAGAAGGTGATATCTTTATCGGAAATCGAAGCTCTACGAATGTTGTACAAATGTACATAAAGTATTTACTCAAACAATGGAGAAATCAAAAACAAGTTCACATGGTTATAGTCGCTCGTCGCGTGAAGAGTATGGTATTTCATGCTGTCTTTTTCCTTAAAGCCTGCCAACAATTCTCCAGCATGACCCCAGATATCTAATATCCCTAAAACCAGAATACGACGTCAAACAAGCACAATTTTTACATCTGGCAATCTTTAAGGTCCCGCCAGCTTTTGCACACTCGAGGGACCCGCGGACCGAGCTTATATAATCTGTATCATCATTGGTTCTCTTATTGACCGAAGTGGATTTGAAGTTCCGTTGTAATTCCTGTGAAGTCGCTCAACAGACGGTCTAACAAATAGCAGTGGGTGATTTAGACAGTAGTGATATATGCAAAACAGAAGTGTCAAAATTTGGTGGCACTCAGAAGTAAATTACTAAGGGTTTGCTTGTGACGATGGACGAGTCGATGTAGAAGCATTCTTATCTTGAAGCGAAGCACACGGTTTTTGACCAAGTTCCAACTAGCGAAGCGGGATTTTCCTTTTTCAAGGCGAAGACTGACTTATTGTATTAATCATTATCAAAAAGGAACCTATCTTAGAATTCTAGGCAAAAGACGTAAGGTAAGCAAGGCTTGCGTTAAATTTTGAAAGGTTTTCGGGGTTGTTTAGGGATCGTTTTGTGTTTATATTTACTCCTAAGAATTGGTGAACAGTCGCTGATCCCAAGTCCTATGAGAACGTAATTTGAAAATCTGTCACTTTGTGTTTGTGTTGTATGTTAGTATTTGTTTGTGGTCGCTGATTGCAATCCCAGATCAAGGCCGAGAATGTCACACTACTTCAGCAAGGCTAACACAACCGACGTTCAAACTACCTCTAAAATAGCACAAAAACTTCCAAATCATTGCATCCTTCAGATTCCATTCTATTGAATCAAGCGGATCAGAGCTAATTTAATTATATATTGAACAAAGTAATTAAATAATTTAAGTCATTAATTTTAGATAATAATTACCCAAAGCCAACCGCTTTGGACTCCTAATGACGTCACACTAAGCAATGCTCTCTTCTCGAATTCATTCTTATAGGAGTGTGGAAAAGAGCGGAGGATAGCCATGAATTAGGTGTCTGTTGTCCTTGCGATCGCTACCACCAGCAAGATGAAGGCCGTTTTAGGCAAAGTATACCTCGCTTTTGTCCTTCTATGCCTCTGGTCTGAAGGTAAGGAGATTTTGGAGAGTTTCGAGTTTGAATTTACGTTTTTTTAGCCCGTCTAAGGCCGTGTGTTTATCAAATGTATACGTATTCATGGTTATTGACTGAACGTGTGACACCAAAACAACAAAGATTTGGGACTCTTTTTCAATCTGTCGTGCTGTAGCGCTCTTCGCTTGTACATTTGAAAGTACTTGTATGCTCAAAGATGGAGGATTCGCAGTGAATCGACAAGCGCCTTAATGATTTTAGTGGAATTTCTGAGATTCACGGGTGGCATTTCAGATAAAGTGACTCGATGTCAAAAATCAATGTCACACTGTTGTATCAATATGTTCGAGTGATTTTTAGAGTTAGAGTTTTCATCTTTAATCAAATCCCACGCTTCTGTTAGAGGCTAGAGGTTTTTGTAGGTTCATCTAGAAATGTTGCGAGCACGTTTGACGGTGATTATGAAGACTCGTGGCCATCATGAGTATTACTTTATAGATCAAACGATTTCACTTATCGAAAATTTACCCTTTAAATTTGCAGTCGATGGCGGCAGAAGTAATAGGAAAAACGGAGGGAGACTGTAAGTATTCTAAGATGTACTGAATAACGTATTCATTAGATAGTTTTATGGTAAGAATGTGAGAATTATCCCTAATGAACAAAATCGACCATCATTGAAGCGATTTGCTGTAATTTAAAACCAATGTAGTCAATCGTTGTAAGCAATCTTGTAGCCTTCTTTTTACCACATTATCAAGCGTTTCTTCGCGTTTTCTTGTTGTTTTTGAATCTACGACATAGCCTAACCAAACGGGTAATATTTAATGGTACTGGAATGGCAAGGGTCGAACGCTAAATGTCAAGACTAACTAAGCATTCAACAACAAAATGTCGACCAAGTGGTTCAGTAAGAAAGCGAGCAGTTTTAATAACATCGCTTGTCACTCGGTTTTCGTTCTAAAGTCGAGGATGGACGCTTGGATAGATAGACTTCGCGCTAATGAGCATTTTTAAGGCCCTTCGCTTGTCACTGAGGGGAAGGCATTACATAAAATATGCCGCGTTTTAGGACATGTAGCTGGTCATTTGTTCAGATTGATGGATTGGAGATCGAGTTACTTTGCACTGTTTGTTGTTCTAGTAATATCGAGGGTTTATTTATAGCAGGTCGATCCGTGTGTTCTTTATTATGTGCTGGTTTTTAAGCTAACTTTTAAAGCTGGTTTAGCAGCTTTGTATTCTACGTAAGGGTTTATATCTACATTGCGTGGATGCAAACATCCTTTTCTAATTACGTACACACTGTACTATTTTCTCTCCCCCTTTATCCTGCACGCGCTTGACCTTCCTCGATGTTATTGGAATTCACTGACATGAAATTACGCCAAGGAGGCTAATAACTCAGCACATGCAGAGAAAAGGCTTGAAAATGACTCTCTTCTCAACTGAAATACATTAAACATCTGTTAGAAGTGTACCGTTAAGCAAGCAAACAGCTCATTTTTCACAAGACTTAAGTCAATATAAGTGAGAGCCCTTTAGACGGTCTTAATGAGCTTGGTCCTTTGTCTTTGGAGTCTTTTTCCTAAGGTATTCTCGCAATTACAAAGTAAACCGTTCAAAAACAACCAAAACACGAGATGAATAGGCGTTCTAGGGGGTGAAATCTCAACTTTGCCTGGGGACATTTCAATCTGCTTAAAATAAAGACACCCCTGTCAAATCTGATACGTCAGAGGGCCCTGCAATCGTTATTGGCAGAGCTTCTATAGTTGAAAACACACGTCGCCCTGGGCTAACCAACCTTCTACTTGTCTGGTTTTCTTTAATCATTCGCTTTTATTAATACTATCTTAAATACTGCAAGAATATTGAGGAATTTGGCCTTTTGGGGCATTTGTAGGGCTGTATCCCTCGAGATATGAGTTTGGGATTTCGAGCTAAAAGTGCATTTCTTATCTCTGCGTGCATACAAAATCTCATGTGTTCAATTAAGATGTTTAAAAACCTTATGATCCAATACGCGTGTAATAAAGACTGCTGTCGCCTGTGTTATCCTATTGTCCTGGCTTCATTTTCCCTTGTTGGGATGTCAGAACCGATTTGTTTTTAGTCGAAAATTGATTAAAAAAGTTTGGCATTGTTTTGTCTGAATGGATAGTAAATTGGTTGTGAAGCCAAGCTCTTCAAGTGAACATTCAAAGACACTGTTCAAAACCATGATGGCTCATTAATCCGATTCATTATTCCCGCCTGGTTGCATATCGAGATAACATCAAAGAACGCGCTCACAATGTTAATTATATAGAATTAAAAACAAAAAGCGCTGCTCCCAGATAGCCATAGCAATTAAATTTCGGCAGAATATTTTATACTCCATTCAATGAAGTCGCCATTAACTCAAATTTGTTCATCAAGTCAAAATGTTATCTACGGTGCCTCACTGGAGCCATAAAAAAATCTGAGTTTAATGGATTGAAATACTCTTTTGAGTCTTCAGATATTGTCACTATGATAATCATATTTTACTGTTTTTGCCTTGAACATCATCATTACCGTGTTTTCTGTCAACCAGGTTAAGGAGTATGGTCAGTGCAAATGTGATAACAAAAGTATTTCAAATACCGTTCCAATATGTCTAATTACGCTGGTTGTGTGCAGAAACACACGAATCATCTGCGATATACATCTTAGTGTTTTATGAGATTTTGGATAACTAAAAGAGAATTGAATCTAAGTGTTTTGGCGTCGAAATGTCTGCTTTTTTATGCTCCTCTTAAAACAGGGGTAAAAYTAGCGCTCGCGTATTTTTCAGTGAATGTTTAGTAGTTTGGTGATCCTAAAAAGTATGTGGCTCTTAAATCTCCGCGGTACAAAGTGCATTATCCTCTTTTATTTATTTTTATAAGACTAAAACTATACATGTATGTAAAGGGCCCAAGACAAAATGGAAAAGGATAGAGAAAACGAAAAAAAAAATGGGCTTAATCCAAGAGACCCAAGTAAAGAAGGAAAGATTCGGGACATAGTACAACCACGTTTTCTATAAGTTGCGTGAAGCGATTTTTAGATTAGAATGTTGTATAGTTTGAATTAGGGAAGGATTCCAGCCATAACAATGTTATTTTAATGGAATATTAAATAGTGAATTGGGCCCGTTAGCTTAAATAAGAATCCGCCCAAACAAAGTTCTCTTAACTCTTGAGGCCTAACATCTAACGCGATAACTATTTACCGTATTAAATTGAGTATTTACAATAAAATATTTCCTAAAATTGCTGCCGATATATCGGGCTGCGAACAAATGTAAGTTATTCAGCTCGCTGCGTGAAACAACTTTAAACAACAATGCGGCTTGATGTTCTCTAACAGCAAGACGCCTAAACATAAAACCAAGCTCACTACAAGCTCCGCAACTTCTCAATCCTCGGGAACTCAGGGGTAAACCTCTGTCGCTCGTAGCGAGAAACGAGCGACAGAATTTTACCGCTGAGTTCCCGAGGATGCGACTTCTCCGAACATTACTGATTTTTACGGATCGACCGACAAAAAAGAATAATAATTAATACTCTCTCAAGGTTATTCTTTCTACGTCTGAAAAAAATCAAAAGTTATCCTTGAAGTTATGGTTTATTTCTCTGTATTTTTCAATAATTTTACAAAAAGAGGTTTAACCAAATGATAGAAACAGGAGAAAATACTCGAAATGACATGAAGTTCTAATAACCCAGGTATTTAGATTTACTTGACTCTTTGAGCTTACGGCTAAACAAACATTTTAATTGGTTTTCGATTGCTTCAATATTGACAAAGAAAATAAAATAAACTGTCTGAAAAGTGGTTTGAAAAACGAGGTCGCTGATAGACAATTTTATTGTAAATCTTRAGACAAACTAGAATTTAGAGTCAGCGAGAAATCGTGTAAATATTCTGTGCATTTTAGTGGCTTTTATAAGCCGAACACTTTATTGGCTTTCATAAGCCGAACACTTTGGTGGCTTTCACAGCTGAATTATAGATTTGAATTTCCATGGCTGTAGAATCGATTGACACTTTACAGGACTCCACAGACTGGAATATTACGTTTTTACTACTTTCCTTTTAGTCTACTTGAAGCGCGGGTTCAAGGTTTCAGACACTTCAATGGCTTTCATATAAATCAACATTTTATTGGCTTCCAGATATTTTCGTTATAAATCGACATTTACTTCGCTTCCCTTAGCATTTTCGCCAACATTTTATTGGCTTTCAAATAGCAACCCTTAGTTTTTATATCTCGGTTACATTTTTACACACATTCCTATACGATTCGATTAGAATTTTTTAATGGTCATTTGATGTACAAATAATCATTCCTGGGAGTACATTGAGGTATTAATTCTCTTTGGAATGTTTGATAATTGATGAGAGAATCGCTGGATTGTCTCTCGCAGAGAAAATCCTTATTTAGTCGGAAATCTCTCCCTATCCTCTTGAGTGTTTCCTTGCAAAATGTTAGCTTTTGCTATTCGAGAAAGAACACTCCCGAAAACCTGTCTTAGAACTGTTCTCAAAAATAGTTGATTTTTGTTCAAATTGTTATAATTAACAAATTCTACTAAATCCATCTGGAAAAGCTCTTGAAAATCAATTATTTCACGCTCCCAAGCGTGTCGATTCATGTTGTTTTTCAAAATTAAGTAATTGAACTAACTCTTTGATTTCTTCTTCTCGTTTTTCGTTAAAGATATTCGCTATTTTCCCCGATCGTATTTAGTAGCTTCCTTTCTACCAGATCAAAAAGTCAACAAAGTAATATTTTTCTCTTCCTCGTCTAAATATTGAAATGACCTTTTATTGCACAATCTTCTATCTAATCAGTTCTGTTTAGTGAAACTTTGCACTAAAATTTTACTTCCAAAAATCCTAGAAAACTTTCGTAAGACTATTAGAATATTAGTGGTAGCTTTTTATAGAATAAATTTATTGAAAACAACTTCATATATGGTTAAATTGATGTTTCTTCAACGAAAGACAATTTTATTTCCTAGCTTTCAGGCATGCTGATTAGCGTCCATCTTACAGCTTAGCTCGCGCAATTTTTATAAAGCAGTGAGATAAGATAGTGGTCGTTCAGCCAAGGGTTAGTCGTTTAGTACATAATCAGTTTTCTAGATGTCTTTCTTCCTATACCAAACTCTTTCCAAGGTAAATGGATTCCGGTCCTATTCTTCCCTAAATAAACAATCAATAATCAATATTTCTGTCAACTTGAATTACACAATTCTAAGTTGTTTACACTTCTCTTTCAACCCACGCAATAAGCACTCAAAGTTTATCGCACAGACCACTTCATTTGAGAGCCATCTTCGTTGCCAAAAGGTCTTGGAATCATTGACTTCTAGAAGTTAGTGAGGTTAACATTTGATGCCGTCGATTTTATCTCGCGGAATTATAAATATATCTCTTGTTTTATCGGTGTTTAAACTCTGTTGTATCAAAAAAGATATTAGAAAAAAGATTGCACTTCATAGGAGCCTAATCCCACTTCTGATATCGAGTGGCTCGCACGTCGCAGAGTCGTTCTGCATACCATCAAAGTTTCTCCGACAATTTTTTTTGTTTTTAAAGATTTATCATTGGAATTGCACTCCATCAAGAAACTGAAAGGTCGTCATTTGACTCAGTTTTGGGGGAAAAGTTTTGAAAAAATCCTTATTTTATGATGATGATTCTGCATGCTTAAACTGATCTCCATGCAAAGTCCTCTGCTCGCTCGCGTAGAAGTGCGAACTAGCAAATCACCATGGAATAAAACAATAGAATCAAAAGAACAAACTAAAAAGCTACTTCAACGTCGTTAGAAGTTCCTGAAGACGAAAAAATTGGAAAACTGAAATTGGCGTCGCGCCCACATTTCAACACGCTTAAGGAGGACCTCTACGAGAGCTACTATCGAAGCCGAAACATTAGCTCTCATATCATGCAAAATAGTTTCGAATTCCATCTGCTTTAGGACTGAAGAGTTAAAGAGACAGGAGAATTTCCCTGATTCTTTGTACAGTGCGCCCGTCTTTATCGGGTTCATCCTCAAGGAATCAAGTGTTAAAATGATAAACTTAAAAAACGGGATTGTCGCAATCTTAAGAATGATTATAGTTGATGGTCGAGGATTAAGTGCGGTTATCAGCGCTCTAAATATATATTGTTTGCCTTAAGACATTTTATTCCTGTAGTGTTGGTAGTTGTTCTTAGGGACGGATCATTTGATAATTGATGGGGGAGGGGTGGGGGGGGGGKGGGTTCAGGTTGTGTAAATCCTCACAATATCGAGCAAGCACTTCACTGCCAGAAAAATTTTGGAAAACTCTTCCTTTCAGTAAAGAAATATCGAGCAAGCACAAACAAAGTACATGCAGGGGTTACCAAATAATAAATCTCGTGAAGCATAAATTCTTGCAACTTCCCCCTCAATCATCTAAGGGTCCATCCCTTGAGCTGTAAGTCTGTGCGCGCGGAGCTTTGCTTTTCTAATTAGATCATGCAAGTTGGACACTCAGGACGTGGAAATCGCAAGCTATTTCTTTCATTCTTTCCTAAAACTACTGCCTATCTAAAATAAGAATTCTCCCTCTTGGATATTGTATATTTGAAATATAATTTACAAGATATATAAGGAAAAAGAAAAATATATAATGTATCGTGATGAGCTTGGGAATAGAAAGGAAAGTTTACAAAAAGTATGCAGTGTTGCCTTATCTTACAAGGCACACATTTGCAGACCATACGATGACACAAATGTCGGTGAATAGTAGAAATATGATAAGAAATTACCCTAATGATGCATGGTTTTCAGAGAGAACTCTGAAAGCGTCCCAGACACTTCGGTGTAATGGATTTTTTTTGCCCCACAACACTTTATTCTCGTCAAATCATTTGGCATGCTAGAGTCTTCCTTTAGAAATGCAATGGCATCGTGAACAGATAATATTAATAATATCTAGATTAATATAAGGTCATAGCTTGGAGAATTTCACAGATGATTTATTATAAAATCGCCAGGCCAGTTGTTGTGGTATGAATGTACTGATGCATGCTTAAAGTGTATTCTTGCAAACAGTATCACTACTTGTGGAGCATTCGTTTCCAAGGTGATTTAAGGTAGCGCAATACCCATTCCAGGAAATACGGTGGTTTTTAAGATAGACGTCTTTCTTAAAATCATATGCTCCAATTATAGCCATCATCAAATCTTATGGAGAATTCTAGCACGTTAACGCGATTTGATCTGCCACGGATCAAAAGCAAGGGCCATGCAGTCAACAAGCTCGGGGCCTGCCTGTAATGATATCGATTGTCGAGTCTTGTGTTTATCACAAAATAATCCGTCTCTGGAACTCGAGATCTGATTGTATTCGATAGATCGTTTTGTACATTTGGTGACATTGGCTGCTCAACAAGTCCTCCAGATATTATAGGTTGCTATCAATAGACTTCACTTTGGGTCATAGCTGCGTTTTTAATGGCTTCAAGGAGGTTGTTTTGATCTCTTGTTTTTTGGTTTCATGTCGTAGAAATAGTCATATTTTGACTTTACATATCCCTCAGTCAACCGCTTGTTTGCCCCCCAGTCAACTTCAAAACCTCAGGTGATTGATAGTTAGCAATACACCATGCCTGCCCTGACGTGACTCTAGTTTTATCTTTTCTCCTTTTTTAGGCGAGAAGGAGTATGCCAAGTATACCGGGGCTCCTTCTGCTCAGCTTATCTGGGCGGCCAGAAAGTATTTCTCAGAATAAATCAAGCTTGGGTTGAGTCAAGGATTAGCAGCATCTATGCTATGATATCAAGCTATGTCCAAGGCCGTTGCCAAAGATATGTCAAGCCCACTCTTTGTTACTATCATTTTCCGCCTTGCGATTCGTCCTCGAAGAAGCCGAAGCCAAGGAAGTTCTGTCAAGACGACTGTTCTGTGTTGCAGTATGATGTATGCCGGGCGGAATTCAAGATGGGAAAGCAGAACCAGTTTTCAAGTAGATATCTGCCCGATTGCAATACACTGCCTTCGCGGGGGCATCCTGATTACAAGAGCTGTGTAAGGGTAACCATGAAAGGTAAGGACGCATTTTTTTTTTTCGTTGAAAAGTAGATGCAATATAAGGTAGTTTACCTTTATTGGACCTCATTAGTTTTGATGAAATGCATGCTCATTTCAGACCACGTGTCATTCCCTAGAGTATCATATAAGAATCTTATTCTCAAGAGAATGACAGGTGGTCTGAAATGGGACAACAATCCACACAAGCTAAAGCTTTATTCATCGAACTTCATATTTATAATATTATTTACTATGAATAATTCCTTTGCAGAAATTCCTTTCAGTGCAACGCTTCAGAACATCACCATGTATGAAGGAAAATCAGTTACACTCAAATGCCGTCTCAACACCAAGAAATTCCCCTTTAATGTCACGTGGATGAAGGACGGAGCTCCTATTGGCTCGCGATACAAAACAAAAAAATTCCTCTGGGGATCCCGGTTGAAAATTCGACGTTCTCGTGCAAAGGATGCTGGGAAATTTGAATGCATTATTTCATCAATTTTGAAATCTGTTCGCGCGGCTGGTTGTCTGAAGATACTGGGTCGAGATCTGCCTTCTGGTAAGTTTAGAGAGTTCAGTAAGTCTATAAATTGCATGCATTAGTGCAGTGGATGTTAGTGGAAGCCGTCAGTAATTTGGTTTTTAAGAGCGCAAAGAATGCTCGTTGATTTTTGAACCGCAAAAAAATACTGGTAGTTCTTTGCAGCGCAAAGAATGCTGGTCGTCCTTAGGAGCGCAAGAATTGAACATTATACTAAAGAGAAATATTAATATATATGGTAGTTCCTGTGTGTTTTAAAACATTTCTGGTCGTTGAATCCGCAGCTAAGCCGCCAGGCAATGAAGTCATCCGACCAACACTCCCAAGAGAGAGAATTGAACATTCAAAGTGGTCCATAGGTAAGTTTACTTTAAAAGTACGGACATACGGTGCGACATTGCACGCAACAGAACTGGTGCAGCGTGTGTCTACCCCTGAAACTTGTTGCATGCAACAAATCTGAAGTTGAATCGCGCTCTACTCTTGCAACATTGCKAGCAACAAATTCCATCGTATGAACAGGGCTGCAACATATCTTAGCATATCAGGCTGACAAAAGCGATTTTGGGTGATTTTGTTGCAACGTGTGTCAACCCGATTCAAATTTGTTGCTTGCAATGTTGCGCACAATGTTTGCACCGTGTGTCTGTACCTTAACATAACCTGGTATGCAGCCAGATAGATTCAGTTAAATAATATATCGATGTTCTGTATTATTTCTTGTAGTCCCTACCAAGTTTAAAGTTACGAGGAAGAGAAAGTAAGTCAATAATTTTTACCGAATATTTATAAGTAATTTAAATATGCTTTATTTTATCTCTGGGGAAAAAACGATGACTTCAATGTGATCTTAGTTCCAACAGAAAAGAAGATTTATAAGTTAAAAAATGTTTTGCAAGATTGCGGCAAATTCTTAAAAAGAGACTATATTTCTGCAACCTAATATAAATTTTCTAATTTCGATGAGCCGGAGGCATTGTGGTTTGGTTTGGGTACAAACGACTCTACGTAAGGCAAACGTTTTTGTACCCAAGCTAGACCACAATGCACCATCATGTTTAAAGTTACCAGGAAGAAATGAAAAAAAAAAAAGTAATTTAAAAACAAAGTAAGTTTTTATACCCAAGCTAGACTACAATGCATCATGTTCGTTACCCCTAAAAAAGTCTATTGATCTCCCTGTTCTATTTGTTAAGGTACCCACGCTGCGAGCCCTACCGTGGCAAAGCCTGTGCTGAATACATCAGCGGTGACCTGCTCTATGCTGGCCATCGTCAGGACCAGAATGACATCGAGAAGGAATTTATATTCCCTTTGAAGCAAATCCTAGAATCTAATCTGAATCCACGATGCCGCAAGTACGGCATTCGGGCGCTTTGTTACCATGTGTTTAAATCGTGTGACCCGAAGATTGTCGATCTAAAGCCGAGGTTGTGTCGAGACGACTGCTTCGCTCTTTACGATGACGTTTGCGCGGCGGAACTTCTTGTGGCGAAAACGAGTGCTGGTATTAATGGTCTACTGCCGAATTGTTCAAGACTTCCTAAAGCTAACCACCCTGATCATAAGTTCTGTTCCTCGTTACAAATCAAAGGTAAGCTGGTTTTACTTCCATTCACAAAGTTTTTCTTTCTTTCTTGTTTTTTTTTTT